GTCACTTAAGTCACACGACCAGTGTGAAAAAAACGAAGCTAAACTTGAATAGTGCCATGAGCCACACGACCCGTGTGGCTTGTCACACGACCCGTGTGACTTCACACGACCAGTGTGGCTTGTCACACAACCAGTGTTGTATATATATTTGATCCGGTTTTATTTTATTAATCGTGTGATTAAAGCGAGCCCGAGAACAAATTTTTATTTGTTGAACCTCCGCGTTGAACCGAGCCCGAGCCCGAACCAGATTCCTCCCTCTTAGTTGCTTGTTGGATTAGAAAAGGAGACCTAGACCTAGCCTATTAAAGGCAAGATTTCCTCAGCAGAATAATGAAAATCCCGCAGCCTTTTATTTTTCTGCTCATCATTCTCGTCTCTCTCGCACGCAGCAGAGAAGAGATTTCTCTTTCGTTTAGTTCATCGATCATCATCATCGCTCTCTTCCCTGCCACCCTCATCCATCAACTCGCAGCACCAACGCCATCACCATTAACATATCCTGCCATCATCATCTGGTCGCCACCTCCGTCCTCGTTCATCATTAATTGCCATCATCACCGTTTCCCAACGACCAACAAGGATCCCAGATATTCTCAGGCATTTCCCGTTCACGTGACTCAGCCCCGCTGTCATCGCTGCTCATTCACGGAGCATCGTCAGCGAGCCTGCAACCTCCATCGCGTCGTTCCCCTGGCGACTACGATCAGGCATCCATCCTCTGCCTCTGTTCGCGTGATCACGAGTCGTTTCCGACCTGAACCAGTCGCCGCTGCTCCTCTCTTTCCGGCGAGACCCGTCAACCCGTTCGAACCATTCTCTTTCGCTTCCCGAGAACGGTATCGAGCCTCGACTCTCTGTTATGTATTATTCGTGTTCGTTTGTTGGATTAATCGTGCCTTACGACTTGCTATGGTTCTTTATGTCGCTTTGGTTTGGAATGTGCATATATGATCTATTCAAGTTATTATTTTATGTGAATATTGTCGTTTCGTTTGAGTCAAACGAAAACGCATCATATATGTCGTGTTGCTGTGGATTTAGGAACTTAGGATCATCATGGACACAATGGTCCTGACCTCGTGTCGTTTCGATTTGTAGATTGGGAGATATTAATTTTCAAAGTTCTTAATTGCGGTTTTATGTGAAAAATTCACCATAAATTGAATGAATGTCCGATTGTCATGACATTTTAACTGAGTTACTCACTGTTGATTGTATATCTTGTGTAAAAATTTCATAATTTTTCATGGCCTGTAGCTATTTTAAATAATTAATGTGATTTCTGGACAGAAATATGTTAAATACATATTAAATTGGTCCATGCTCCGATTTTGCTAAAATTTGAATATATTATGAATCTGCCATGTTTATATGCTGTGTAAAAGTTTCAGAATTTTTAGAATAAGTTTCATAGGGTAAATGAATTATGTTCAGATTCTGCAGAAAGTTATTTTATTTATGATAAATCGGTTGGTTATTGAAAAATTCTGATATTTGGCTGAGATGCTTGTTGTATGTGAAGGGTCATTCTGTAAAAAGAGTAAAATTTTTAGAGCACAAATTGGTTCGGTTTAAATTAAAATTCAATAAACTGCTGAATCTTGTATGAATTTTCATAATTTGAGTATTTGATGTTAATTGCTGGAATTTGTATATGTTGATCCCTAATTGTTGAACTTGATCTGGTAAAAATCTTATGTGTTAATTCGTTCGTTAGGTTTGGCTTTGAATTTTATGCTCGTTTTTGCTAATATCGTATTTGAATTTGATAAAATTGTGTATAATAAGTTTGGGGCTGAAACTTGGAGGTTTTATTAAGTTCAATGAGGAAGAATTTATGTCTAAGTTTCAGAACCTAACTCATTCAGGAGATTGATCAAGCTAATTATGTGACATATTGTTTTCTATTTTTTTCAAAAATGTAGTTGTTGTATTAAAAACTATAAACCGGGTTTTCTTGTTGTGGTTGTGTCTTGTTTGAACTACCTTTTATGTGATACATGCGTGAAATTCCATGTTTGGTTGTTCGGGTCTAAGTCCTAGAGTTCCAATGTCCACAGAACTTCACGAACAACATGGTTGACTCGAGTTCGACCAAGTATGATTGTGTATGTTTCTCTAAGGTCAAAAGTATTGATCTTAGTATAATAATATGTTGTAGGTGTTTGACGAGCCGTGCTCGCCGCCTACTCTTGATTGTGCTATTTCCCCTTATTGCTGCACCAGGTGGGTTTACTTATTCAAAACTTGCTATGCCATATATGTGTGTTTCATGTTGAATGGGTATGATTTTTGTATGTACGTAAACCATGTAGCCTATCGATGTGAGCTGTTACGGCCGTCGGTACGGTTGTCCCCGTCGATGTAATACGGTTGCCCTTGCGAGGCAAGTCTCCGTAAGACCTAATGAAAGGCCGTGCCTTGTCGTATGGCACGTACCCCCATGAGTTAGGGTAATGAATCCCCTTTCCTTGGCTAATGAAAGATGTGTACACGTGGGTATTATGTTGTGTTGTGATTGGGAGACGTGACAGAGTAATTGTTTTATGTTCATACTCTAACCATACCTTCTCTTCATTATTATGTTGTGATATATGTGCATAGTGGTGAGCACGCTTTTCATCTTGTGCTCATCCCCACCTGCTCTTTACCGATGCAGGTTAAGTGACAGCCGGGTGACGAGGAAAGGACGAGTTGGTCGGTCTATTTACTTATGCATTATTATGGCTTCCATTGAACTTGAATAAATTTGTTGCACGTTATGTTTTGTGCAAACTATTTCCAAACCTGGTGTGTGGATTTTGAATCTTATGAACCCTTGTAGTTTTGGGATTGATGTTTGACTATTTATTCATGAGTTTGTGTTGGTTGATGAAAACCGCTTGTGAAAACCGGGTAATGAATCCCCGTAGGCCCAGATAAGACTTGGGTTATGAGAATGTTAGTTAACACCCACTAAATTTTCGAAAATGAGTTTGAAAATTTTATACTGGTTTTTGAAAAATCCGGAATTTCTATAAAATCAAAGTGGGGTGTTACAGTTTGGTATCAGAGACAGTCTGCGTTTCTGTAGACTGGTTTAAATGTGAGTATGTGTTTTAGACCTCGTAATATGACCATTCATCTCCGTCACTCCGCGCTGCTTAAGGTATGTTTTATATAAGTATCAATGAAAATATTTATAATGTGAATTGTGATTTCGCACGAGTAGCAATGAAACTACTTGTGATGTTTTACATGAGTAGCAATGAAACTACTTGTGATGCTTTGCACGAGTAGCAATGAAACTACTTGTGATGTTTCTTACGAGTAGCAATGAAACTACTTATGAGGTTTTGCATGAGTAGCAATGAGACTACTCATGAAGTGATATGTATGTTTTTTTGGGGCTTAGGAAATCTATCCACCTCGGGTTATGTGAACTCTAGTGTTTGAAATTGAACTCTAGTGATATAGAGTTAAGTTCGGACTCTAGAGGTTCCTAGTTGTGAGTTCCAGTATTTTATTATTCAGATAAGTGTTGTTATAGCATTTTCTCGCTGTAAGATTCGTTCAGTGTCCTTGGAGTAGGACCATTCGTGACCCATCTCGAAGAAGAAAGGTTAAGAACCGAGTGAACCTCTAGTGTATGAGACCACCCGAGAAATTAGAATCTCAGTCGTTGAAGACCGGGAGTGTCATTTAGGTGTCGCGAATGCGTTACTAATCGACCCCTCCATAGTTTAGGAGAATCTAATGCGTATCACCGTTGTAACTCTTGAGAGTGGCTAAGCCTCGAGAGGGATGATGGTTGATAAATCTCGT